CGGTCAGGGGTACCTTTACCTTTACCTTTTCACATTTCCAAAATATAAGATAAAAAACAAATAAAATAAAACCTACATCCAGCAACAGTGTTTTGTGTTGTGTGGGCACCTATGATGTAAGTCATGGGCCCCGCCTGCTAGCCTCTTCCTTAAAATATCACTGGTTTATTCATTTCTATATATAGGGTGCTTACATTCTGCATGGACTGGTTGCAGGGCAACATGGGGAAATGGCTTTAGATACCTCTTAGGTCCATAAATTACCATATAGCATCTATTCAACACAAAAAACAGCGACCATTTGTTGTTGACAAAGGACAGCTGGACATATAAAGGGCCCCATTACCGTCAGTAGTGTTATGTACTGAAGTTCTCACTCTGGGCCAGCAGGGGGATACTAGATAGTTTTCACTCAGGTCCACATATACAAATAAGGGATTGAAAGTGACGTTCAGTGATTGGATAGTTACAGAAAGTGGTTACTGTTGCGTTGTAGTGGAGCTCTATATAAGCGGCTGGCTGAACCCTTCAGTTCAGTTCTGTTCTGGCCTGTGAATAAACAAGAGCTGTTTGGAGAATCGCTGTGTCATCTGATATGTTCACCCACAACTTAACAAGTAGCTTCTTAGGGCCTCATCAAACCTCAATCTGGCCCTGCTAGGAAATCATGCTGGGAGGGTATGGAATGGAATGGAGTGGTGGAAGTTTAAGAAAAACGGAGGAGTTTTGCAAGCTAAAATCTGGATTGAAGACAGAGCTATATAGATTGACAAAAGGGGCTTTCGCCAACCCAGTGGTGTTTTTGGTTCCCTCACCACCCACCGTGTCTAAAATACGGAGCTTGGAGAATAAAGAGAGAGTGTGTGTGTGTGTTTCTTTTGAAAGTAGAGACTGGGAAGGGTAATCTACTTAGTGATGGCGTTCCCACTCCCTGCTTCTGCCACATTGCTTAATATGCAAGGCAGGTAGACGTGTATATTGGTGATCTTGTATATCAATATTAATAGTATGTGTTCCTGGGAACTATTTAAGGTGTTTTCTTTGGGGGACAGTTTTCGGAACAAGCAAAAATGTCTTATGGCAACTTAACAGGTATGATTCCATGAAATTGTATAATATTATAAGCACTGGTGAGGCTGGTGCAGATAGTGAGGTCAGGAGGAAATTAAACGCATCCAGAACTGACCAGCAAGTGCATCGTTCACACTACTGTTCACAAGAAAAAAGGGAACAACCCCCCTTTAGCTAAGGTTTCTATCTTAATTTCCAATCAGTGACACATTTGCTCATTTGTTAGATTTTGTATTTTGCTCTGGTTATCTCCCGCTTGGACTACTGCAATGCGCTCTACGTGAGGTTACCTTTGAAGGTGACCTGGAAACTACAGCTAATCCAGAATGCGGCAACTAGGCTGGTGACTGGGAGTGGCTGCCAAGACCATATGACACCAGTCCTGAAAGACCTTCATTAGCTCCCAGTATGTTTCTGAGCACAATTCAAAGATTGGTGCTGACCTTTAAAGCCCTAAATGGCCTCAGCCCAGTATAACTGAGGGAGCGTCTCCACACCCATTGTTCTGCCCGGACACTGAGGTCCACCTCCGAGGGCCTTCTGCTGGTTCCCTCCCTGCGAGAAGCCAAGTTACAGGGAACCAGGCAGAGGGCCTTCTCGGTAGTGGCACCTGCCCTGTGGAACGCCCTCCCATCAGATGTCAAGGAGATAAACAACTATCTGACTTTAGAAGATATCTGAAGGCAGCCCTATTTAGGGAAGCTTTTAATATTTGATGAATTATTGTATTTTAATATACAAGAGTGGCTGGGGAAACCCAGCCAGATGGGCAGGGTATAAATCAGGCATAGGCAAACTCGGCCCTCCAGATGTTTTGAGACTACAACTCCCATCATCCCTAGCTAACAGGACCAGTGGTCAGGGATAATGGGAATTGTAGTCTCAAAATATCTGGAAGGCTGAGTTTGCCTATGCTTGGTATAAATAAGTAAATAAATAATGTTGTTTATTATATCTCCATGCCGCTTTTCATTCAAATGAATCTCAAAGCGCCTTACAAACAATAAATAACAATGACATGATAGAACATCACCAATACAGCACAACCACAATCTATAAAGCACTGTTTAAAAAGCAACAACTAAAAAAATAACCTCATGCCTGTTATCTGTTTGCTCAATGTGAAGACATGAGTCAGTGTCTTGTGAGCATGATGTAAGGCCATAGGGAGATCACATGACCCCTGTGAGATCACATGACCCCCGTGCCCTGATTTTACACAGCATCCAGCTTGGTCAGCGTCACTGAACACGCTGTCCTGGTCATGGTGACTTCCTGACACCAACTAGTTTAACAAAATATTCATAGAAGACTGTGCTTTCAAGGGAAGCTTGCTAACTGCCCAGAAAATGACAGCCTAGTCTGCTCTTGAGCTTCTCATACCTTTAACCTCTGCTTAAAAAACCTTCAAGTAAGGAAAGTCCACCACCTCCAGAGGGAGTCCGTTCCACAGTCGAACATATCTTACTGCCAGAAAGTTCTGCCTGAAGTGTAGTCGGAATCTCCTTTCCTCTAACTTGAATCCATTGTTCGGGTCTTACCCTCCAGAGCAGGAGAAAACAAACTTCCTCCCTCTTCTATCTGAGAGCCCTTTAAATATTTGTAGATGGCTTTTATATTAGCTCTCTGTCTCCTTTTTCCCCAGGCTAAACATACCCAGCTCCCCCACCACCACCAACAGGTCGCCCTCCTCTGCACATGTTCCAGCTTGTCAACAACCTTCTTAAATTGTATTGCCCAGAACTGAACACAGTATTCCAGGTGTGGTTTGATCAAGGTAGAATAGAGTGGTACTATTACTTCCCTGGATCAGGACACTATACTTGTGTTGATGCAGCCTAGAATAGCATTAGCTTTTTTTGCTGCTGCATCACACAGTTGGCTCATGTTACGCTTGTGGTCCACTAACACCCCTAGATCCTTTTCACATATACTACTGACAAACCAGGTGTGCCCCTTCTTATATCTGTGCAGCTTGTTATTCCTGCCTAAGTGTAAAACCTTATATTTGTCCCTATTGTGATTAATTTTGTTAGTTTGGACCCAGTTGTCCAATCCGTAAAGGTCATATTGACCCCCAATTCTCTTTTCTCCAGCATTAGCTACACTTCCCAGTTTGGTGCCATCTGCAAACTGGAAGATCTCTCCCCCCCCCCAATTCCTTCATCTTAATTCAGGTAGGTAGCTGTGTTGGTCTGACGCAGTGTGTGTGTGTGTGTGTGTGTGTGTGTGTGTGTGTGTTTTAGAGGCAATTAGAGATCACACTAGACAAGTGTTTCAAAAAGCATGGGGAAAATTCAGAGAATACTTCACAAAACAGTGCCCTAAAATACATACCTGGACTTGTTTTGATTAATGTATGCAGGAGACTTTGTGGATATTTAAGTTATAATTAGAAAAACCTTAATAATTATTCATAAAGGAAACAGTTTATAAGAAGTAAATAATGAGGCCAGATACAGGATAAAGGAAGTCTTTTATTTGGTGGTTTGTATGGTTGTATGTTATGCTCACTGTATGTTATGTTCACGTTTAATCAGGGTGGATTTGTGTATGTGGGGTGGGGGGGTTATGTTGTAAATAAAATTCCAATTAAAAAATGTCCAGTAGCACCTTAGAGACCAACTAGCGAAAGCTCATACCAAGAACAAACTTAGTTGGTTATAAGGTGCTACTGGACAATTATTATTATTTTTAAAAATATATTTCTCCTTCATCTTAAGTGGTTTATAAAGAAGACATTGAACAAAACAGGCCCATGACAACTCTATGGTGTGGCATTTCAGTTGTCCCCTTTTCCAGGATGATGAGGAATCGTTACTGGGTTTGGTCACTCAACCAGCTACAGATCCAAAAGTTACCTCATCCAACCTACATTTTACCAGCTTCTCCACCAAAACACCATGGGGAAACTTTGTATAGTTGCACACTTTACGCAGAAGGCGGCCCTTGCACCCTGAGATCAATAGGATTTACTTCCGAGTAGGTGCGCATGTGTGCAAAAGGCATGGATGGGATCAGTGCCGGATTTACGTATACTGTTGCTGTTGTTTAGTAGTTTAGTCGTGTCCGACTCTTCATGACCCCATGGACCAGAGCATGCCAGGCACTCCTGTCTTCCACTGCCTCCCGCAGTTTGGTCAAACTCATGTTGGCCGCTTTGAGAACACTGTCCAACCATCTCGTCCTCTGTCATCCCCTTCTCCTTGTGCCCTCCATCTTTCCCAACATCAGGGTCTTTCCAATACTTTCCAATATAGCTAAACAAGCTATAGCTTAGGGCCCCTCTTTCTTGGGGCCCCCAAAAAAATTAAAAGGAAAAAAACCTGGATGCACATTTCCAAAATATAAGATAAAAAACAAATAACATAAAACCTAAATACAGCAACAGTGTTTTGTGTTATGTAGGCTCCTATGATGTAAGCAATGGGCCCCCAATCATTTTAAGTTAGAGCTTAATAATTATTTCACTATTAATATATTTCTTCTTAATTGTATTCCAGCTCAACAATTACTTTGATAAAATACATATTTTGTTATGTGCAAATGGCTTTGGATACCTATTAGGTCTATAAATTACCATATAGCATATATTCAACACAAAAAACAGCGACAATTTGTTGTTGACAAAGGACAGCTGGACATATAAAGGGCCCCATGACCTTCAGCAGCTTAGGGCCTCATCAAACCTCAAACCGGCCCTGGATGGGATGCCCAAGCACGTCACGCGGATTCCCTAACTCGCGTGGAGGGCTTGAGAAAGCAAGGCTGACTCAGCGCAATTCCCCCATCACTGCCACGCCGCCCGCGCACAAGCAACACTTTCGTGATTCAGCAGAAACCAGGCAGGGCGAACGGCGTCTCGATTGGTCGGGTGGGGCAGTGACGTCAAAGCCGGCTACTTCGGATTGGGGAAGCGGGAAGCGGAAGAAGCGAAGCATGATTCAGCATATAGAATCCAGCTACATAAAGCTCTGTAGAAGTCGAAACTTAACAACTCTTTTGGAACTTCACTAGAAACCAGAGAAGTATAGAGTTTGGGGCATCAGGGAAACGGTAAGTAAAGTGCTGCCGCTGGTCTGCCAGCTGATTTACCTTTTAACTCTTCCTTTATTTTTTAAGAATCTGTTCTTTTCTTCGTTCTTCTGTATTGCTGTCATTCTGTGCCTTAAATTATACGAGGCGGGAAGGAGGGATTTTTTTTATCGGTAGGTGAAAAAAAATTCCCATTTCCATGCAGTATCTTAAAACAGCTGGGGTGAAAAGGTGCTTTGCTTGGGATTGTACCAGTCCTTTTTTCCTCTCAGAAATATAAATACTACACAAATCATTGTTAATGCTGTCTTGCTATTAACTGGTTTGTCTAACTTCCTTCTCCAACCCTCTGAAACGGCATAGGCTTAGGAACTGCTCCCTCTGTGCTTATGATGATCTCCACCCCTGCCTCTTCAGATACATTTTATTAAATGTTAATAACTATAAAACAGATTACAGAGAAAATATTTTTATTTTTATTTAGGGAGGAAATGAGCTGTCACAATTGCCAATAAGGAAATGTAAGATACAGCTATACATGACTTTTTGAGTCAATACAGTTGTACCTCGGGTTAAGTACTTAATTTTTTCTGGAGGTCCGTACTTAACCTGAAACTGTTCTTAATCTAAAGTACCACTTTAGCTAATGGGGCCTCCCACTGCTGCCGTGCTGCCAGAGCCTGATTTGTTTTCATCCTGAAGCAAAGTTCTTAACCCGAGGTACTATTTCTGGGTTAGTGGAGTCTGTAACCTGAAGCGTATGTAACCTGAAGCGTATGTAACCCAAGGTACCACTGTATTCCGCTTTTTCTTCTGTGTTTTGTGCCTCCCTCGGCACCTGTAATTCAACCCTTTAGATATTGGTGTCTTTGTTCAGCTGGGTGAGAAACTGGTTTTCTCTGATAAAAGTGTCCCAAATGTCAATTAGGCAGTTCTCAAGGGTAAAACTTTCAGCTTACTTGAAATGCATCCAGGCCAGGGCTGATTGGACGCTTGCTCACACCTCTAGCTCCTTATTCCTATGGAATTAACAGGCACTTCTAACAATGCTACTATGCACCTTGCTTACTTAGATATCATTTAGCCTTGCAAGCATGTCCATAGTGATTTGTCTGAATAGAAGACCCTGGTCATTTGTGGCTTGGAAGATAAACACCTGACTTATATTGCCTATTTTCAGGCTTCTTGGAAAACCTGATGCATTTAAACCAGTAGAACCTCCTCTTACAGGTAACAAAGAACTCTTTAAGAAAAGCAGGCTGCTTCCTAGAAATGGAATTTCCAGATTTGGGGAAACACTGCTCTGAGAAGACCTGCAAGCAGCTAGGTGAGAAACTGCTCAGGGGGGTGTTGATGCTGTGTTTGGATTGTGCTGACCTTTCCCTAAGGGTAGAGTGCCATGGTATCAGGCAGACAACCAGAGCAGGAAGGAGCGCATGTAATAAATGAGGATTCTGTATAAGGGATGGGGAACCTGTGGCCTTCCTGGAGTAAAGCTCCCATCGTTCCTCGCCATCATACACGGTGAGAGGAGGTGGGAGCCCAATAACATTTGGAGGGCAGCAAAGTCCCCAGCCTTGGCTTATTTCTCCCCCACTTTTCCAACTTGCCAAGGTAGCTTGCATTGCAAAAAAGCAAATATAACTATATTGCTTGCTTACAGCGTTTCTATACTGCCAATAACCAATGCCTTTCTGGGCAGTTTACAATAAAACTGGCCACAACAGGTGCTTCAGGGCTTGGATAATCCAGTTTAGAGCTCCTCACATGGTGGAATGGGAAGAACAAAGGCTTGATAACCCTTCCTCCCAGGGGGAGGTAGAGTGACCTAGCTAAGCCTGGCAGAACAGCTTACTCTATGCCCTTAACCCCTTCATACATTAATTAGACTTGAGTATGTTGCTTATAGGAACGTGGGTGGCGCTGTGGGTTAAACCACAGAGCCTAGGACTTGCCGATCAGAAGGTCAGCAGTTCGAATACCCGTGACAGGGTGAGCTCCTGTTGCTCAGTCCTTGCTTCTGCCAACCTAGCAGTTTGAAAGCACGTCAAAGTGCAAGTAGATAAATAGGTACCGCTCCGGCGGAAAGGTAAACGGCGTTTCCGTGCGCTGCTCTGGTTCGCCAGAAGCGGCTTAGTCATGCTGGCCACATGACCCGGAAGCTGTACGCCGGCTACCTCGGCCAATAAAGCGAGATGAGCGCCGCAACCCCAGAGTCAGCCACGACTGGACCTAATGGTCAAGGGCCCCTTTACCTTTTATGTTGGTCATATGTGACTCCTCATCCCATATTTTCTTTGAACTAGGTGTGTTTTCTCTTTGTTTCCCTTGTAGACTTTCTACCTCTGAAATGCGATGCATGCAGTGAGGTCTTCTGCAAAGACCACTTTGCGTATAACCAGCACAAGTGTTCCTCTGCATACAAGAAGGTAATGTAAACTGCAGAAAGGGTGAAACTTGACTAGTGTGTGTGACATGAAGAATAGCGCTGCAAAACGGAATAGCTGGCATTTTTTGAAAAGAAGTAGCTATCGATAATGACACCCATGCGGTTCGTAGGACCAAAGCTGGGATGGGGTTGTGCATGATGGAATGCCGACTTTGCGCCTTAACACACCTGAGTTCTGCAGCCATATTTCCTCGCTAATATCCAGTTTCTTTTCAGGATGTGCAAGTTCCAGTCTGTCCTCTCTGTAACACTCCCATCCCAGTAAAGAAGGGAGAGGTGCCGGATGCTGCTGTTAGTGCCCACATGGACAGAGACTGCAAACGTGATTCTGCTCAGCAGAAGCAAAAGGTTAGGACCTTTTCCCAGAGCTATACTGGATGTACACAGCAGTTCAAGATGAGGTCCCTGCTCTGTATCCCGTTTATCTTTAATCAGGAGATGCTCAAACACTTTCCTAGCTGGCAACCCAACTTTGGGGAGGACACAGATTTCCAAAGTTCCTCTTTGAAGGCCCCTAAGAATTTCGAAGAAAACAGCTATATTTGAGTTGTTTCATAAAATTTATACTGTAAGCTCTTCACTGGATCAAGAGAGCTTTTGGCTGGCTGGGAAGTGTTCTTAAACGCGATACCTCTTGCTTGCCTGACTGATTATTATTGTTTATTAATTTTGTATACTGCCCTTCGTCCGTAGATCTCAGGGTGGTTCAATACATAAAATTATAATATAAAAAACACAAAATACCTGTAATAGAAACAACAGCAACAACAACTAATAATCCCTCTTCCAGAAACACATTTTAAAGGCCATAGGTTATTTAATCAGCCAAAGGCCTTATTGAAGGGAAACGCCTGACGCCTAAAGGTGTGCAGTCAAACCTTGGTTGTTGAACGTAATCTGTTCCAGAAGCCCTTTCGGCTTCTGAAATGTTTGACAACCGAAGCATGGCTTCTGATTGGTTGCAAGAGCTTCTTGCACTGTATTCTAACTTGTATTTTAATCAATTGTTTGTTTGGGGTTTTTTGTTGTTGTTTTGTTTTTAATGTTTTTACTGTATTTATATTCGGTGTTAGCCGCCCTGAGCCTGGTCTTGGCCGGAGAGGGCGGGGTATAAATAAAAATTTATTATTATTATTATTATTATTCAAGCAGAAGCCACATTTTGAATGTTTGGCTTCTGAAAAACGTTTGAAAACCGGAGCATTTACTTCCGGGTTTTCGGCGTTCGTGAGCCGAAATATTCCAAAACGGAGCCAAGGTTTGACTGTATAATGAAGACGTCACACGAACCTCCCTGAGGAGAGTATTCCACAAATAGGGAAGCACTGCAGAAAAGGCCCGTTTTTGTGTTGTCATCCTCCAGCCCTCTCATGGAGGAGGCACGTGAAGAAGGGCCTCAGAGGATGATCATTGGGACCAGATAGGTTCATATTGGGAGAGTCGGTCCTTGAGGTATTGTGGTCCTGAACCATTTAAATATCTATAGGTCAAAATCAGCACTTTGAAATGGGTCTGGAAACTTAATTGGCAGCCGGTGCGGTCAGGCTAGGAATGGTGTAATATTTTCAAGCTGTCTTCTTCTGGTGAGCAACCTAACCCCCAAATTCTACATCAGCTGTGATTTGTATGAGGAGAGACAGTCCTTAAGGTATTGTGGTCCTGAGCCTTTTGGTGTGTGTGCAAACCTCTGTTTTGTGTGGCTGGAATGTAGCTTACGTAAAGGTAAAAGTTGCATCCCTTGACCTGCCCACCACTGTGTGTGTGGCCCCTGGAAGCCTGCCCTCAAGGGAATGTGGCCCTGGAACTGAAAAAGGTTCCCTTACTGGATTCTCTTACTGGATTTGGTCATAGCAACACAATCCTAGACCAGTTCATCCAAGTCCCTCTTAGTTAAATGGAGTTTGCTCCTAGGAGAGCATGCCTAGGGATTGCAACCATTAAAATGGTAGGAGTTGTGTGATCCTTGCGAGACGGTCAACTTTCCTGGTCCAGTTGTAACCTGACTTCCTTCTTAATCTAGATCTTCACACACAAGTGCTTCCAGCCAGGTTGCAAAAAGAGGGAGATGATGAAGCTGGTTTGCAACCAGTGTCAGGGGAACTTCTGTCTGAAACACCGACATCCTCTGGACCACGCCTGCAAAGGACAAGCCCGGGCCATTTCCAAAGCTGGGTAAGACTAGAACCAGGGGCGATGGAGAGGGGTCCCACCCTGGGTGTCACCTTAACGGGGGCAAAAAAATAGTGGGTGGCACTCACCGCAGGGCCTGCAGCGCGCCTGAGTCACGTGTCTCGGGCACCCGCAGGCTCCGCACTGTCCGCCCGCTGCCTCCCTTCCAGCTGTAGGTTGGCTGAGGCCCCATGGTGCACCCCATCCCTATGGGTGCTACGCACCCTGTGCTGTCCTTATGGGTGGTTCACCCCGCCCCTATGGGCGCACCGCCCTAGGCGCCTGAGAGGATTCCTCCGCTGCTGGCTAGAACTTCTCTGCTGGCTCAAGAAGCTGCCTGCAGAAAATATTAAATGTTTTAAATCCTCTTGAGGGTTTTAAAGCCAGTGTAGCCTTGTGAACTTCTGAGGCCTTCTGCAAGCCAGCTCCCATGCATCCATCATTTTATTTGTATGCTGTCTTGCCAAAGGCTTGCATAAGTCTAATGTGATCAATAGACAGCAGTGTGGACTTAGACCTTAAAACCTGTACAGTGGACCCTCGAGATACGAATGTAATTCATTCCAGGGGTCCGTACGTACCCCGAAATTCCGCAAGTAGAGGTGCCGCTTCTGCGCACGTGCGTGGTGTGATAGAGCGCTTCTGCGCCTGTGCACGTGGCAAAACCCGGAAGAATACACTTCTGGGTTTGTCGCGTTTGCAACCTGAAAGTTACGCTACCCGGAGGTAATGTAATCTGCAGGTCCACTGTATTGGTCTTTCTGAATAATGTCAGCTTTCCCCCCTTCTTCTCCTGTGGCAAAATGTCCTGTCCCCCGCAGGCAAAGAGACCTTTGCCTTGTGCAGTGAGGCTTCCTGAATGACAGAAGGGGTAATCCTGCACAAACCCAGAAGTGGCACAGCTGGCTGCTGCATGCAGAACGCTGAGTGTGGCTGTTTCCTTGCAGATGTGCTGCTCTGATGAGATCACTGGAATCGAACAAGATGTCTCTCAACCACCGGGTTCTGCAGAACAGGTAAATAACAACAGAGTAGCCCCAGCCACTCTGGGCGGCTTCCATCAAAGTATTTAAAACACACACAAAAGAAAACCTCAAACATTAAAAACCTCCCTGAACAGGACTACCTTCAGGTGTCTTCTAAAAGTCATGTTTATTTCCTTGACATCTGATGGGAGGGCGTTCCACAAGGTGGGCACCACTACTAAGAAGGCCCTCTGCCTGGTTCCCTGTAACCTCACTTCTTGCAGGGAGGGAACTGCCAGAAGACTCTCGGAGCTGGACCTCAGTGTCCGGGCTGAATGATGGGGGTGGAGATGCTTCTTCAGGTATACTTGGGCTGAAGCCGTCAGCACCAACACTCTGAATTGTGCTTGGAAATGTACTGGGAGCCAGTGTAGATCTTTTAGGACTGGTGTTATATGGCCTTGGCAGCCACTCCCATTCACCAGTCTGGCAGCCACATTCTGGATTAAATGGGGCTGGCGTGCTTCTCCCATGTCTGTTGAACCTAATAACTGGAGCAGAATCTCACCTGACATGTACCACAGAAGTGGGCACACCCAGACTTGTAGCATCCACTTCATTTTGCACTTGGACTTTTGAGAGCCACTAGCTATATGGCTTGGGCTGAGGCTACCTGAAAGAGTGTATCTTAGTGGGAGAACATATCCCTACTAGTCCCAGAGCTGGCGTGCTGAGTGGATCTTGCCTGGGAAGCAAGGCCGAGAGCTTAAAAGCTCTTTTCTCACCAGGTCTGCTTGGGGCTACCCAGTGCAAAAAAATAGCTTTTAAGCACTCAGCCTTGCTTCTAGGCAAAGCCCACTCAGTGCACTGGCTTTGAGAGTGTACAGGATGCTCTCGCAAGACAATCCAACTTCCCGCGAGATCTTGTTGAGAGCTTCCCAACCTTGCCCATATATAAAGAAATACTGCAAATTAGAAGTACAGGTGAAACTTGAAAAATTTGAATATCATGGAAAAGTTCATTTATTTCAGTAATTCAACTTAAAAGGTGAAACTAATATATGAGATTGACTCATGACATGCAAAGCGAGATGTGCTTCTACTTACAGATCCAATATTGCTCGATTTGCAATCCTTGTTTTGCTGATTTCATTGAATATTCTAATTATCTGAGATTGTTAATTTGGGGTTTTCATTAGCTGTACGCCATGATCATCATAATTATAACAAAGAAAGGCTTGACATATCTCGCTTGGCATGTTATGAGTCGATCTCATATATTAGTTTCACCTGTTAAGTTGAATTACTGAAATCAATGAACTTTTCCACGTTATTCTAATTTTCCGAGTTTCACCTGTACGTAAGATGTGGGCGTACTACAAAGGTAGAGACATGTCTTCTGAGAAATGGGTGGTTCTTCGTTAGCTGCAGATTGTTGCTAACTAATTGCTTGTTGTTGTTTTTTTCAGCTGCAAAGCAAAAAGCTGAAGTTTTCACAGCCTGGGTCCCAAACTGCCTTGTCCTGTTGACTGCTGTACAGATTTAGCTCTTAAAACTTCTGTGTATTTTCTATATTACTTTTATATGTCTATTTCTTCAATAAAAACTGATGTCTTTACAAATAGAGGTGCTTCTCTGGTAGTTCAGTCACTGGAAAACCTGAAACCAAGTCCTATACTTGTTGGATAAATCTCCCAAGAAGCAAGGAGGAGATTTGTTGCATTGCCCCAAGTTTAATGGCTTGCAAGTACGATGCCTTGAGCCATCCAGCTTTTGCCAATCTGGTGGCCTTCATATGTTTTGGCATCCAGTTCCCATCAGCGCCAGCCAGCGTGGCCAACAGTTAGGGATGGTGGAAGTTGCAGTCCAAAATACCTAGAGGTACCAGTTTGGCAAAAGCTGCTTTGATAAATGAAGCCAAGTCCTGTGTTCATCCTTCTCTTCTCTTCTTCCCTGCCATGCCCCACCCCAAATCCCTCCTCACTAGAGAGGAGGAAGACCTTTCCAAAAACGAAATACTAAAATGATCCTACCCATAAAATGCTTCATTTTCCCCCTCTTTGTTAGAGGGAAATTTTATTTATTTCATAAAATTTATACCCCGTTTGATTGTAAGAACAAATGAACCTCAAAGCAGGTTGCAAAAAAGATAAAACAATAAATCACCGATAAGAAAAATGAGCAATTTAGAACTTTCAAAAAGTAAAAATAACAATTGACTAAAAACGTCAAAACTTGCACCGGCTTTCTCTAAACATTAGCTCTGGCTTGTCTAAACAATATTTTTAGCACGTGCCAAAAGGGGTACAGTGAAAGCGGCTGCCCGAGTTCAATAGTGTTATCAAGAACATGGAGGCCTAAATTTTTCAAATGTGAGATTATGGCTTTAAAGTTGGGCAGTGTCCCTGAGAAACCTGGTGTCTGTGAAAGTCTTGGATGCAATATCAGATCCAGCCACAGGGTGTCACAGCTGAGAGGTTTGTTGTGTACTCTGTCAAGTCTTATTCCTGCCTTTAAAAGGAAGGAATGTAATTTTGTGTGTCTTGTAAATATTCCAGCAGATGCATTTCTTTCGAGAGCAAAATGTGGAAATGATCCCTCTGACAGCTGACCAAAGGGAGTCATGGCTCTTCCTCTGTACTGGTCACCATATTCTTGTCCCACTAATAATAATACCTCAATGATTTCTTAATCATCGAGAGACAGTGTAGTGTAGTGGTTAAAGTGTCGGACTAGGACCTGGGAGACCAGGGTTCAAATCCCCACTCGGCCATGAAGGTCACTGGGTGGCCTTGGAAGCCAGTCACTGCCTCTCAGCCCAGTCTACCTCACAGGGATGACAGCTTCTGGGAGCCACAGGTGAGAGCCGAGTGCAGGATAGGAACCAAAGGTGGACAAACTACCCCAGAAGGAGCATGATGTACCAGAGGGGATGTACCCATCCCCTATAAATAAGAACCACTCAATTTCACTCAAATATAATAGGGAAAACACATTAGTCCCTGACCTGAAGAATCACATTTAGGGCAGAAAATGCTTATTTTCCCTGCTGCTCTATAATACTAGTTAGTATTAAGAACAGACTGACACCACCTCACTCCCCACTATTGTTTTACTGTATTTTTAAATCTATTGCAAGCCACCTTGATAGCTCTAGTTCATGGGTAGGCAAACTAAGGCCCGAGGGCTGGATCCGGCCCAATCGCCTTAACTCCGGCCTGCGGACTGTCCGGGAATCAGCATGTTTTTACATGAGTAGAATGTGTCCTTTTTTAAAAAAATGCATCCCTAAGTTGTTTGTGGGACATAGGAATTCGTTCATATATTTTTTTCAAAATATAGTCCGGCCCACCACAAGGTCTGAGGGACAGTGGGCTGACCCTCTTGCTGAAAAAGTTTGCTGACCCCTGTGCTTGACTGATCACTGTGGCAGAATACCACAAAGTTAATGCTTTCACTGAAAACAATTGCACTGGCTCCCAAAATTTGCTGGGCTACTTTAAAAAAAAATTTTATGCGGCTACTAAACTGAATAAACAATCACAATCATAATCGACTTCTCCCTGGGTGTGGTCTCAATTGGAGCCTGCCCCAGTTTTGCGCATCTCCCTGTGGCGTGGTAGTGCGCTGAACCAGCCAGAGAGGAAGCCGCGTCGAGTACGACGGCGGGCGCAGACGTCACTCGCACTAGACGAGGCGGCAGGGTTACGGGTGTGGCGGGAGGAAAAGAGCGACGGCCTTTGAGCCCAATAGGAAAAGAGAAACCCAGGGCTCGCGCACTCTCTCTCCCCATCAACTGCCGCGCCTTCACGTGCTTGCTCCAAGCCCCGCCCAGCCCCGCCTTCCCCCCAGGGCGCGAGGGAGACGGAGAGGAGGGGGAGGGCCTGGGTTCCGTAGCATTAGATTTTGATTAGCTCCGCTGCTTGATTGAAATGCGGGCGGTCCAGTGCGAGCGAGCGCGTGGCCTCCGGGCACCCAATGGGAGCGCCGGGGCGGTCTGAGGCGCTGGGTTGAAACGTGCGCGAGGAAGCGCGTGAGCGGCCGCAGCTGAGGAGGCGGGCTTGAGAGTGAGGTGGGTGGCGTGAGAGGGAGGCGGCCGCTTCTGAGGGGACCGGGGCGGGTGTGGGTGTCGCGGCTTAGGGTTCCTGTGGGGAAGAGGAAGGTCCCTACCCCACCCCGACCAGAAGGGCGCCGGCGAGGGGGTGGCGCGCAACACGTGCCTGTGTGAGGGAAAGACTCTTCCCCCTCGCTGCCCTGCTCACTTTCCTCACGGGCACCTTCATTTCCCTCCCCCAACCGGACTCACAACAGACCTGTGAGGTAGGCCAGGCTGAGAAAGAGAGTGGCTGGCCGCCGACTCTCAAACCCCCCCCCCCAGTTTAGCCTCACAACAGACTCACCAGGTAGGCCAGGCTGAGGGAAAATAATAATAATAATAATAATAAGTAATAATAATTATTATTTATATCCCGCCCTCCCTAGCCGAAGGCGGGCTCAGGGCGGCTAACAACAATAAAATAGTGCAACATTCTAAAAACATTTCATTATAAAAATTAATTAAAATCAAATTGATGGCAACCATAAGCTTAAGCATTAAAAACGTTCTCTGTACGGTTTTGCGTGAATTACGTTTAGGTATTGCCCTTGCCAACGTCTGGCAAAGCTGCTTTTCACCCGTAAAAACTTATATTGTAATAAATTTATTGTAAACTCTCACTTTTTCTTATCACAGGGTAATGTAGTTGCTCCTCTTGAGGTTACTCAGGCCACCTGAGGAGTATGAGGCCTTGCAGAGGTTAAGACCTATTGTAAACATTTCTATACGGCCAAAGAAAAAGGAATAAGGGTGGGAAACAAAATAATCACTTAAATTACATCACTAGCAGCAAAGTTTATATGTCAATAATCAAATTAATATGTAATCAACTTTACTGGATCACACATCAGTGAACGCCTGAGAGAACAAACGTGTTTTAAGCTGGTGTTTAAAATCCAGTACTTTTAAGTGCCTGTTTAAATACTTGATGAACGTGAAAAACAAAAGAGGTACCCCATGTTCTCTTAGTTTGGTACATTAACCATGGTACACATAACATCTGCCAACTCAGGGTAGCCGTAGGTGCATATGGTGACATAGATACTAATCCATGAAAGCTTCAACTACAATAAATCTGTTAGTCCTTGTGGAGTAGTCTATGTGGTACCCTCCAGCCCCAGCCATCATAGTCAGTGGTCAGGGATGATGTGAGTTGTCCAGAATATCTAGAGATCAGGTTGGCTGTTTTTAGGTGTCCAAAATAATGTTTTCCAGATGTAGCCTGTACTTGTTGCATCAGAAACAAAAGAGTCTTATGTCACCTGGAAATACTGCTGTAAGCTTTCACAGACTAGAGTCCATCAAATGTTGCAGATTGAGGCAGCTAATCTTCTGGAGGATCGAATGAATGCACATCCCTACTTTAGAAGGAGGGGGTGCTATGCAACATTTCACAGAGGAAAATAGAAACACCTCGAGGGGCAGCTATGTTCTAGTCTTCCTCTCTGTGTCAGAAAGTATTTGCTTTTTAATTAATGCTGTATCCTGACAAGATATATGACTTTTCATGAGGTGGATTATATTTCCAATGAAGGTTGGAGCCTATTGTCTGCAAAAGTGACTGATCACAGTATCCGTTATAGTCAAAAGCAGATAGGGCATTTCCTTGAAATGTTCTAGGTTGTTTCTAGAATCAAGTAGGATACCTTTTGATTTAAAACACCTGTTACTGCTAGGCCGCATATAGGTTTCTAGGATTTATGTACAGTACACTTTTGCAAGAGGCTTGAAATTAATTCAGGCAGAGGATATTTTGTCTAAAACCCAAATGTCTATAGATTTTTCCACATTATCTAGTGTAGTATGCTGTCTTCAGAGTACTACTCTCTGCCATCTGTTCTTGTGGAGCAAAGGAACAACAAACTAATCTAGATGCCTCTAGCAATTGCGCTGTATACCACATTATAGGGGAAATTAATCCCCAGCTCACTCTCAATTTGCCTGGAGGGCAATTAATTCCTGTTTTCAAATGCGGCGATTAATCAGTTGTATGGAAGTAAAGTCTGTCCACCAAATCTTTCCAAGAGAATTTTTAATAGCTCTCTGAGGCAATCCTACCCCCATTAGAGTTGCCAGATTAATTACAGAACTAGGCTTTCGTAGTTACATTAAGGGGGGGGGAGATGGGTGGAGCCTAGAAAACAGGGAGTTTGGCACCCTGTTGTATTTTTAGCTAGGAACCAACTCTTCCCTTTTTTCTTGTGGTTCCTGTAGGACTGTGAAAAAGTGAACATACTTGTATGTTGATCATTGCAACTATGGACGCAGCGTGGCCATATATTGAGGCCCAGTATATATTTTTTCTGGAGTTAAATATAATATTCATACAACGTGATAGTATATTTAGCTCATGCAGATATAAGAATGTAGTTCAGGTTGTAATTTGGTAATCCATGTACTTAACTATGTAATGCACTTATTAATAGTTGAGATTATGTATAAAAAGTCAAAGCAAAAAGTTGTACATTTATTTACTTAACAGTGGTTTTTATACTAAAAGATGACTTGCCCACCACTACCAAGTTGCAGGGGAGTGTTAGTTGTGTTCTATCACACTCGCTTGATGCTCGGGTAATGCTAATGACCAGTCTGAGCTGAGTACTTGGCCTAGGCCCTAGAACAGGCATAGGCAACCTCGGGCCGCCAGAAGTTTTGGGACTACAACTCCCATGATCCCTAGCTAACAGGACTAGTGGCCAGGGATGATGAGAATTGTAGTCCAAAAACATCTGGTGGGCCGAGGTTGCCTATGCCTGCCCTAGAAGAACCCAGCTCAACACACAGGACTTCCATGATGCAACCTTAAGGGTTCCACATCAGATGAGACAATGGAGAACGAGTTCCCCTAAACCAGCCTTTCTCAATCTGTGGGTCCCCAGATGTTGTTGAACTACAACTCCCATCACCCCTAGCTAGCAAGGCCAGAGCTCAGGGATGATGGGAGTTATAGTCCAACAACATCTGGGGAAACGCAGGACACTTTAAAACTACTTGCTTTCAGGACAGGAGCTTTGTGAAAAACATTTGTATGTCTTGCTAAATTTTCAAGAAATAAATCATTGATGGTGGTTCTTATGTACAATGAAATGACACATAGATTCTTTAACAAAAATGCACATTTCAATTGTTAGAATGGCAAAGAAAAGAAAAGCTGCTGACATGAAGACAGAAAAGAAAAAGGAAGAAATGAAGCATCACTTGGCAGAAAAGAAAAAGGAAAAAATGAAGCATCTCATATCAGAAAAGGAGCAACAGGTCGATGAACCTAAGTTGAAAAAACAGAATCTGGAGGTGAGTGAACAAGTATGAGTTTGTTGAACTTGCATATTTTCGTATTTGCAGGAGAAGATGCACATCTTGACACTGGAAAATATTTGCAAAATGATAACTTTATTGGGATAAGTGCCATGCAAAGCATGTTATCAGTTTTGGAAATAAATGTTTTCTTGTTGTGACGCACTGAATGAATAAAAGTAGGCAAGGAAAGAAACCAACTAGCTTTAAAAATCTTATATCTTGACCTCAAGCATGTACCTAGGCGCCTACAAAATGTGTGCACACAGTTCTGTAGTTAGGTAGTAACTACTATCAAGCCAAATTTCTAAATATATTGTGATACTTCATCCTCACAGATGCAAATATGTGTAGGGGCAAAAATATATAGACACTGTTGTGTAAAAATGCACATGTGCAGGATTTGCATCAACATACAGATTCTGAGTGAGTGTGCATATAGTAAAATATACATGTAGGCAATGTTACTTAAGTTCTACAGTGTGTATGTACACATTTCTCATAAGTATAAATAAAATGTTACATGTGACATGCTTGAAATCTGAGGGAAGTTGGGAGTCTGTTGCCATTTGCTGTCCATACACTATTGGAACAGCTCACACTTGAAGAAAATGGGTGGAAGATGGTTGACTCTCCTCAAGTGTTTTCTGCACTGTCTATAATAAAGTTACCGTATTTTTCTCTCTATTACACACAGATTTTTTCTCCTAAAAAGGAAGGGGAAATGCCTGTGCGTGTTATGGAGCGAATGTGGGGGGTCCCTGGAGCCGATTAGGGGAGCGCAGGAACAAAAATCAGCAAAAATCAATTGTGCGTTGTGTCGGAGAGGGAAACCTGAAAAGAGGAAGTGGTTGCTTTCCTGCATTCTGCCTCAGGGTCTTACTGCCCACCCTCCTCTGTTTCGTTGCTGTGTTTGCTCAAACGGAACAAAGAGCAGGCAAATCCCCTCCCCTCCAGGCAAGCAGAGGGGAAAGCAGAGGTCTTTCCTTCTAATTCCTCTCCGTGCTCCTCCCAGGCAGCCAGAAAACATGCAGGAGGAGAGAGAGAGCTGGCTTCGGTTTGGGGAAACTTTTGCCTTTCTTTCCTCCCTCCCCTTAAATCCCTCTCCTGCTTTCTTAGCCAGCTGCTTCTCTGCACACCGCTCTCTTGTCCCTTCTGTGTTTTTCCTTCACTCCCCACTTAAAATGTAGTTACAAAGCATGGATCCACATGGATCCTCAGGATCTTTGCATTGGGCCACCCCAAATTCACCATCAGATCACATAGCAGCCTGCCCCCCTAAAAGCACACACCCACTGTTGCCTGGGGCTGCAATGGTGCAAAAACGTGGTTAAAAAGCATGGATCCACATGGATCCTCAGGATCTTTGCATTGGGCCACCCCAAATTCACCATCAGATCACATAGCAGCGTGCCCCCCAAAAATCACACACCCACTGTTGCCTGGGGCTGCAATGGTGCAAAAATGTGGTTAAAAAGCATGGATCCACATGGATCCTCAGGATCTTTGCATTGAGCTACCCCAAATTCACCATCAGATCACATGTCTGTGGCCACAGCATGAAGCACAAAAATGATAGATCCACTGTTTCATTCAGAATTTTTTTCCTTGTTTTCCTCCTCTAAAAACGATGTGCGTGTTATGGTCAGGTGCGTGTTATAGAGCGAAAAATACAGTATTTATATTCACCCTTTCAGCTACAAATTTTGCTGTTTTTGTTCACTGAGTAATTTGGTGATGTCTCAGAAAGGAAAAGTGGAAGGAATACTCTTACCACACATCAGATGGTATATTGCACATCTGTTTACCTAAAATAAAATGTGTATGCATTAAAAATGTAAGATGTGAAGCAGCCCTAAGATGCTGCCCTTTGTTCTACAATCTGTCCCTTGTTATCAGGACCTGACTACCCATTCCAATGTTCCTGCTGAGACGAGAGGAAATTCTTCATATGCCCCCTACTTCCCAGCTCTGTAGGCTGTGTCATTTGCTAAACAGAAGAGGCCAAGAGGTTGCTTGATATTGGCATGTTGTTTACAGCAAGGTTATATGCTGTGTAGTGGTAGCAGTTTTGAAAACTGCCAGTATATTACAACTAGAGTTTAAGATTAGTTAGAGAGAATGGTGGTTATATAGCTGAAATTCTTGGTTGTCATTGAGGAAACAAGGTTTGCTCTTTGGTTTCTATAAATGATGTTTTTGATTGATTGGCAAAAAGTCAACATTACTATTTAATTTTAAAGTTGGGAAATGCATTGCTATATGGTTCATTTTTGATGGGGAAAGATGTTTCACTGATTCATTAGGTTGCTGGATATAGCTGTGATTTACACAGCTTTTCTGTCCTCACATTTCCAATCTCGAAAGTGTAAAATGCAAATTTCTAATTGATTTTGGTGCAGAGCTGTTTAAAAGCAAGCTGAAATATTTCCTAAGTGAAGAAGTTCAATATTATGTTGACCATACTTTTAATGAAATTTGTTCCAACAAAATTTTTGCTCAAATAAGACTAGTACATTTGCCTGTAAGACATGTTGACCTTTCAGAGCAATCTTTCTTTATTGATTTTTCATCTATTCATTTCCTTCCTTTTACATTAAATAGCAACAAGCAACTTAAGTACTTTGCTAAGCATTAGTATGAATGGCTTTAGAGGCCACATTGGGTTGAGGTAAATAATGATCCCGATCTTGTAACAATGCTTAAGAGATAAGGAGTTGGTTGTGGGGCCATGTGTTCCCTTCTGCCTTGAGCACAATTTCTCCTGCCTTTTCCTTGCTAGCCTGAACTGTGATTAAGTGTTACATCAGCACTGCCACTGACTAGCTGAAAGCAAGTTAACCAAAGTTTGCTAATCAGTTGCAAATTCTGACTAAAAGGGAACCTTAGTTGCTGATAACAGAGTTAAAATATGTCTGTTATAGGTAGTTGGAGAGGGGGTGCTTGTATACCTTCACACAAAACTAATATTCCATGCAATTGTAGAGAAATATCAGCCATGTCTCATTTTTAAAACACATAGTAATAGGCACTTAAGTGTTGTGGTAGGAGTTATAGTTGCTGCCAGTCTCATCCCTTATTGAGTCAGATTACGGGGGGGGGGAATTGATGGTTGACTGTCATTAAAAGGTTTGCATTATTTTTCATCAACAGAAGTTGATCTACCAAACATAATTGCATTGCATAAAGATGTGTCTTGATTTGCAGCACCAGCATGGCAGTTGCTTTCATAAAAAGTTGGCCATTTGTGGAGTTATAATTACTTCTTTTATCTCTAAACATGAATTCTAATGGGAGCCTTGTCAGATACAAGCAGCTGGAGGCTTTGGCTGCAGTACAACCATAACCTGGAGAATTTGTGTTATGTTCATATTGTTTGACCTTTATACAGGCCCTGATGCCATTGACTATGATAAATGTTTGTGGGATTTGGCCATATTTGTGTAACTACTACTGCTTGGCAGGGTTGAGGGGCGTTGATGGCTAATAGCTCATCACCTCTGTAAGACTTCCCCAAAGGAGTCTCACAAGGCTCCCTTTTTGTCCCCCTTTCTGAGATCTAGCAACAATTGTTTGTTTCTTCAGAACTGCTGAACTACTCTATGCTGGGTTGTGCTTGAGGCATCTCTAGCTGCATTTGGTACGGAATCCAGTGGTTGCCTACTTCATGGTAGGGTTGTAGGGCTGTGCATTAAATCACCATACTTTTGAATACCAGTTTTGAAATAACATTCTGATGAGTGTTTTAACAAGGCAATATGCCATTGAATAAAACTTGGACACTCAACAGCTTCCCAGGGGGTAGCTCAGCTGAACAGATAGTTTACAGATACTTTGCAGATAATTTGCAGGCAGGGTGCCTCCAGCTTTGTTCTCTCTCTCCTAACAGAGAAGAAATGATGATAAGCCTTCCCACAAACCAGCAAACTATTTCATCTTCACCAGTATCTTTCCACTTAGAGCTCAGCTAATTATGCACAGCCTGCTAATAATCCATCAGGAACCCCCCCCCCCCACAGCTGGACAGAGATCCAGTGGCAAAGTAAAGAAAGAACAAAGAACCCCATGAAAGCGTGAGCAAAGGATATTTTTGTATAAAGTATTCACTATTCATTTTTTAAAATGTTTGAATTGCCACGACACTGTTCAGGAGAGGCCTACATAATGGGGGATCTGGGCATGGGAGTGCTGCTCAGGTGGAGAGATCAGCTACATCTGTCTGATTCCAGTCAGTGATGTGAAGCTTTTCTTTTCTTTTTAATATAAAAAAGACGGCTTCCGAAAATGAAATTTCAATAAAGAATATGGGGGGGTGGGGCTTCTTCCCCCTTTTGTGTCACTTGAAAACAAAAACAAAACAAAGAACTGGAAAGCTCTTCTTTTTCTCCCCTCACACTCGCCCCCCGCCGGTGAAAAAAAGAGGGGGAAGAGTTTTTATTTTTATTTTCTGGTGGTGTTTATCTTTGTTGGTTCCCTCTAGATAGCTTTCCTCCATGTAAAAAAGGAAGGGTTATTTTTCTTATTTAAAGGAGACTATCTTCTTTCTGACAAGGGACGCGGGTGGCGCTGTGGGTAAAACCTCAGCGACTAGGACTTGCCGATCGCATGGTCGGCGGTTCGAATCCCCGCGTCGGGGTGCGCTCACGTTGCTCGGTCCCAGCGCCTGCCAACCTAGCAGTTCGAAAGCACCCCCGGGTGCAAGTAGATAAATAGGGACCACTTACTAGCGGGAAGGTAAACGGCGTTTCCGTGTGCTGCGCTGGCTTGCCAGAGCAGCTTCGTCACGCTGGCCACGTGACCCGGAAGTGTCTTCGGACAGCGCTGGCTCCCGGCCTCTAGAGTGAGATGAGCGCACAACCCTAGAGTCTGTCAAGACTGGCCCGCACCAGCAGGGGTACCTTTACCTTTACCTTTATCTTCTTTCTGGCATGCCCTCCCTCCCTCCCATTCATAAAAAGGGAGAGATTGGTGGAATAATGACTTGGGGGGGGGCTTCT